TATATATATATATATATATATATAGATAGATAGATAGATAGATAGATAGATAGATAGATAGATAGATATAGATAGATAGATAGATAGATAGATAGATAGATAGATAGATAGTTACATACATATGGATGATGACCAATCATCTGACTTAAATGCTCGTCTTAGTACACACGCAATCGTAAAACGTAAAACGCTTACTTGGGCCTTGTTTCCAAGTAAGATATTCTTATAAAATTGTTATAATATTGCTTCATTGGTGGATTTTTCCTCCATCCGTGCCCACTCGCTCGTCAGGAGGCCGCCCATGTCTCCAGCTTCCGCTCGCATTGTAGGGTGGTCCAGAAGAAGGATACAGCGGAGCGAAAATGGGAGTAGAAATTCAGACTATAACTCCGGGTGACGGTGAGAATTATGTGACTTGTTAAACAGCCTAATATTGTTTTTATCCCGAGAGTGTTCGCTTCATTATTCTGCCACTTTTCTCTCTGTTTTCCTGTTTCCAGGGCGGACTTTTCCGAAGAAGGGGCAGCGCGTTGTGGTGCACTATGTTGGTGAGTGCGGAGGCTGGAGCTCCGAGATTTGGATGCTCTTTAACGTTTTGAATGTTTCCTCTAGCCCCTACCTGGCTGAAAGGTGTCTGATTGGGTAAATTGTGAGCCAAGTTAGTTTCATCTAACAGTACCCGAGTGTCCATTGCTTCTTCTGCTGGTTAGCATTGTAGCTAGCTTCTGTTAACAGACTGACTATTTTGACTGTTGGGCTATCATCAGCTATTCTGATGCTCGCATACTTTTATTATACCCCCGGTCTTTTAAACCGGCCAGAATTGTCTTTATTTGAGGGAACGAAGAGTAGTTAAGTTCGTTGAGCTGAAGCCTCCTAACGTAAACTATCCGGGAACCCGTTATGCTAACGCTAGCATCACGGCTAAACAGTTAGCTCATGTTGGAGAAGGGTGCAGAAAAGTGGGATTAGTTATCAACAAGCCGAGCTCTGTGTCGAGTTAGATATTCAGACATGTCTAACCAGCCTTCGGACTCTTATTTCATCTCCAGGCACACTGGCAGACGGTAAAGTGTTTGACTCTTCGAGGTCCCGGGGCAAGCCGTTCAAATTTAAGATCGGACACCAGGAGGTGATTCGGGGATGGGAAGAAGGAGTAGCCCAGGTGAGCAAGATTTTCGCAATGAATACCTTTATGCAGGTATTACTTAACTAGCTATGTTTTCCTTACAACGGCTAAAAGTAACGATTGTGATCTTTCTCTCTTGGGGGGCATGAAATGCTTTTATAGTTACGTTTAACTGCGTTGCTTATATTGGGAGGTATTTAGCCCAATCTCAGCTGTAACATCTGTCAGTAGTGACGAGTATGGAAATAAATTTGTGTTACTCCAGATTGATGGTATTATTTTTGCATAAGTGGGCCTTTTTTAGCCTCTTTTATTAGAACTGAATGCATCCAAATAGCACTCACAGCTCTTTTAGTGGTTTCAAGTGATGCTGGAGCATCTCTGCTCTCTTTTCTTCATCCTCTATCTGCCTTTCCTGTTGCTTTAAGTGGCACAGAGCCTGTTCCAGCTGTTAACACGCTGTTATGATACTTTGCCACCATTAACCCAGTGTGATTTTGCAATTTTTACTGTTAGAAATGATTTATATTTAATGATATAATGCTGTGATGTTTGTTCTGTTGTTTCCCGCTTGTGTTTTATTGAACCATGTAAGATTTTTGGGGATTTTGCACGATCAGATGGGTGAACAAAAGACCTATTATGCCCAATTTAGTCTCTATATTTTTATTCATGGGTTCTACTAAAGTAGCTATTATAGGATTACAAGGGGTGGGTGATATAGCCTTAAAATTATATTACAGTTTTTCACAAAAAATTGCAATAACAAGAACTGCGATGCTGGAAAAATGTTTCATTGATGCTTGCAGGCAGCAGTTTTTATAAGTGAAAGTAAATGAAGTGAATTTTCTATGTTTCTTCTCTAGTAAGTTACTGTCGTTGATGGCACACTTCCTAATTTCAAGTGTGAATGTACTGAAACAAGTTGCCAGCAGCAGCAGCATTATGTCCAGTGACACAGCATAAATCAAATGCAAGCACAAAAGTAGCCTAGGCACTTGTTCTTCCCTAGAAATTTTAAGTAAAAGTATAAAAGAACTGCTCAGTTTTTTCGTTTAACAATAACTGAATTAACTCAGTCTCATAACTGCTCTGAAGCTGCACAGGATGTTGTGTCTTTGGTCAAGCTTTTTATCCTTCTGCTTAAAGTCCTGGTTTTCCACCACGTAACCATGTCAGTAATTTCTATCCACTGCTTGTGCTTCCAGTCATGTGGTGTGAGGCTAGCCAGCGATGCTTGTTGAAGTGATCTGTGGACATTTGGGTT